GAACCGGTTCTGGCACTCGGGCCACTTTGACAGCGCTGCCCTAAACTCCGACTCACACAGTGATCTTCACATTAGATGCATGCCAGCTATCACACGGAATCCAAATCACAACACTACTCATATTTGCACGTGTGGTACACCCCAAAATGATGGATATTCTCATATATTAAGCTGAATGCACATTTTCATCATTATATCATATTTGAAATACAGGTGACACATTATTTTATCCTCATATGTAGTGAAAAATGCTATCTAATTATGAAGAAGCAGATACAGACACCTCTAGATATGCAGCCACCACAATGCGGTCATTTTCTGTTACCAGAGTAAATTCTTGCGGGCTGTTTGCGAAGTTTGTTTACAGTACTTTGTACGGTATTGTTATTGATAGTTTATAACTTCATAGAACAAAAGACGTACTCATTTAAGGGAAATGTTAATATTGTAGCTCTGGCCTGAGGGTTTCATACTGAAGAGTGTTTAGGAGTCTGGTTTCATGTAAGGAAGCTAAATGTAGCTTGCTTTAACCGCGACCCGGAACACACGCATGTAAATTGTCTAACGCACACGTTCCACTAACACAAAACCTGACGCTATCCCAAACACACACACACACAAACAAACCACACACACCGAGACAGAGTGCAGCAGGCTAATAAGTGTCAGACTGTTCTGCCTCGCTCTGAAGTAGGGAACGATCTCTTCTTCTCCTTGTTTCATCTTCCTCTCCTTGTTCTCTTCAGAGTGTATCCCACTTGAGAATAATGTTATTTTTTTTACATTTCAAGCTTTAGTTATTAATCTCAGAGTTTGAGGGAAAGCTTGCTGTATATCTGAGGTTTATTCCCACCAAGTGAGAATAAAGGTGTTTACCAAACCCGCTATGTCTTTCCCCGGTGGCAACTTTATTCTATCTACTGACCAGCAGGGGGCGACTCCTCTGGTTGCAAAATAAAGTCTGATTGTATCGAAGTCTATGAGAAAATGACTCTACTTCTCTCTTGATTTATTACCTCAGTAAACATTGTAAACATGAGTTTATGGTCTCAATCTCTAGTTTCAAGTCTTCTTCAATACAACAAGATGTTCATTTAGTAAATGATGGTGCATTTAGAGTCAAATGGACCATAAAGCAGGGAATGCTTAGGGCGGGGCTACTGTGAATGACAGGTTGCTGCCGCTACCAGAGCCGTATACGGCGTCTCTACGTCACTCTTCTGCATTCCAAATATGGTAACTTCTGTTTTTTGGTTGCGAAAAAAACAACATGGCGACGGCCAGTATACCAGATGGTGAAGGCGAAATTGCCGAACTCGAGGCTTCAAAACACACAAACCAATGGGTGACGTTATGATGACTATGTCCACGTCTTACATGCAGTCTATGGTCTTTCCTGAAACCTACACTCGGTACACCCCACTGTGTACAACTGATCATTTATATGTGAAGGATCACAAGCCCATAACTACACATCACTTCCTAACTGTAAGTGGAGATGTTTATTCACCAACTTTTCTTTTTCGTGCTGGTTCAAATGTGTTGTTAAAATTCTGTAATGACCGTCAATAGGAAACCATATTTCCAGTTGATCAGTCACATCTGGCCGATACCTGATCCAGTTAACGAGGTCAGTATTGGCGCTGGTACTGATCCAGTATATCCAATCACTGTCTTTAGTTGGTTTGGACTTCCGGGAAGTGCATCCTCAACATTTCCTGAAGCAAAACAACTAGAGTCTTCAGGTTACATTAACAACACTGGTGCCATTGGTTAGAGGCGTTTCATTATTGTTCCACATAAATGATGTTTTGGCTTTTTGTAGGTTAAGCATCTGAATGGTGTATAGCATGTATATGTTAAACCCAAACTTCCAGGAACATGGCTGGTCTGCGATGCTATTTTGGTATAGTGGCCACTATACTTGGCAATGCATGATCATGTGATGCACACTGGCCCAAAAGACCATTTGCCATACACAATCATCACTAAAGGAAGGACAAAAAAAACAAAACCATGAAAAAAAACATTCCCTAGCATCACAAACACCCTGAGTGACTATTTGTTTTATTATATGATCTATCTAATAGATTCTGACAAATTTGTATCTGTATCAGTATAGTTATGTGTTATGTGTGAGGGCAGCCACCAGGAAGTCAGTCATCTCAGCTAGAGGAAGTCTCTAATGAGCATGCTCACAACTGAATAAGCCAAAGGTGGACTCCAGTGCTCTGCAGGAGCCCGCTGAAAGGCCCTCATTCTTTTTTTGCCAAATGCATCCAGTCAGCATCTTATATTGGAATGAACTGAACTCCGTCTTGTAACGCTTCATCTAGTTCTCTGAATACGTCCATAATCTGTATGGCCACAAGCTGGCAGCGTCAACATGCACCACCATCCTACTTTCCCAGTTTTGACATGTGTCATCAGAATAGCAGCGCTTTTGTCACTGTCACTCGTTGGATTGGCACATCCCAGCTACTGGATCTTAACGAAGGGCATCAAATGATGCAATGCTGCTCGATGCAATGCTGCTCGATGCAGCCTGTGTGTGTGTGTGTGTGTGTGTGTGTGTGTGTGTGTGTGTGTGTGT